AAAAAAAGCACAGCCACACATAGGCTCATGAGCTCCGGGAAGTTTGAAACAGATGCAGCAGCCTCAAACTAAGTTTTTGTACACTTTCATTTCAGTCCTTTGTATAATACACTGTTGCAGTGAACAAGCTGGGCCACTTTCACTGATCGTTCTGAGTGAAAGTGAGGCATGTGAAATGCAGATCTGTGAGTGAATATATAAATAAAGTTAGTATGCTGTGGAAACTCAAGCATGTTGCCTCACAACGGTGACAGCACGTGTGGGCACCAGCAGAAAAATGAGCGTAATACTACGAGCATCTCCAATATCTAGCACTTTTCTAGAGAGAGAAAGCTTACCGATTTCAATGAAACAAGCCTGCAAGTGTGCAGTGCAGTATCCCATATGTAGGAACAGGCTGACTTAGCTTTCTCGCTTAGAGCAAAGCGGGCCAGAAAACTTAATTTTTTTTTGGGGGGGGGGAGGGGAGGAGATGGAAAAGCCTGGTTATTCCTTTAGTAATTGTGAAGTACGTAACATAGTCTTTCCCTTGTCAGCTCTGGCCACAGAAGCAATTACTGTAGCAACAATTTCATTGTTCTTTTTCTGTTGGATAATCACATACTGAAGACGACACAAAGCAAGCTACTTCAGTTTCTGACCTGTTACAGTGTTAAATATTGTGGTCAATACCATTAAAAGGGTGAGAAAAATCTAGCCTTTGAATAAATTCTCAACTCTTGCATTGATTCTGAAACAATGACTATATTAGAAGATTTTGATAATGTTTATCTGATCATATGGTTATAATCCTGATCTGTAATCCGTGTCTCTATACTGTCAGAGCGAGTATAGTTACGCGGCCTACAAACCAGTTTCTTCTTAACACATAATTGAGACTGTATAATAAAACACCCTCTTTGTGGGAAGCTATAGATAACACGGTACTTCTATGTTTGGATACCAATTAGCTATAAAACATTAACCTTATATACCTTTGACACTTGAAAACATAAGCTTGTTTCAAATCTGTGCTTATAATATTTATTGCAAGATGATAACAAATACTACAATTTAGACTTAGCACATAACAACGTTTTGCAGCAGGCAATATTTCTGGAAACTTGATAAAATCGTCAGCTTAACAGATCGATGTTCATGGTCTATAGCAAAATATTTATTTCAAAAATATCAATAAAGCATTTCCCATTGACATACAGTAAAATACAGCATTACAGAAAAAAAACCCTGAAATTTTCACAACCATTCAAAATTCCAGAACAAGATGTTTTACATTCATAAACAATAAACATACCAAAAAGAAAGAACTGTATTGCTAACTTCTGAATTGATCAGAAAAAGAAGAGTTCAGAAAACTGAACAGATGATTGTTTTTATAGACTTTTCAGTGTTGGCAATAATGTGTTTTATAAATCACAGTTTTAATAAACTATCTTAATACTTATCACGCTCCCATTGTACATCATTATCTATGGCAATAGTTAACAAATAACCACAATACAAAGTCCATAGATATTACAATAGCTGACAGTGTTCAGTTCAGTTTCTTACTGCTTCCAGAAGAGCAATTTCCTCCAATCCAACACAGTTAGGGTGGCTGGTTACAGAGCGGACATAGCAGTTCAGAAACCCCACCTCCTTTCCCAGCACGCTCTTCACCTCATAACTCTGTAGTGATAAAAGCATGTTGATTAAAACAAACAGTCCTGTACATTCTGTTCTAAGCAGCATATAACTCAAAAGATACAAGGTGTAAGGTCCTCTTCCAAGAGACTATTTTTTTTTTAAATCCTCAAAAAGAAAATTGCATTAGAACTGCTGGAAAGAACATATTCGACTAGCGAATAAATTAGATTTTCAATTAGATCTTACTCCTGTTTAAAGTGGTGCTTTCTTGCAAGGCTCTTAAAAATGAATTGGTTAAAAAAGCTACTGCAATTCTGAACTCGGTTTAGCTGCAGCACAACCATTGTAAAGCATAAATTGCTTCCTTTACAAAGTTTTCTTACTCTCGCAGGTTTTACATGTGGTAGGAATGTATATACATATATATATATATATATTTTCATGCTGAATATCATTTAGCAGATATCCATGATGTTAACTAACAGATCTACAAAAGGAAAAATTATTTCACAACGCATTTAACTCCGCCAGCTCTTTTTAACTGTGTGCTTTTTTAATGCTTTATCAAGTATTATTTATGATCATTTTAACCTCTATAGTTCCTTCTGTTTAATGATCTGATTGGCAGTTTTCCAGCGTGAGTAGTGGCGTAGTTGTAAAGACTGTATTGTGTGTGGAGAACAGGGATATAAGGGTTGGATGATCTCCCTAAGAAAGATGACAGGGCACGCCAACAGAAGGACGGTAGGACTGGCTGTTGAAACCCTACTTGAAAGGGTATCTCAGATCAGAGTTTTACATGCATTTCTTTCATCAGTGGGACTTGCCCGGGACCACCCTCTGACCATTCCCACCTCTTTATCTGTGCTGGAGGCACGGCTTTACAGATACCTGATAACCAAACCAACTGCCTGATTCAAGGTATAAACAAACAACCCAATTTTTTTCTAGATTATTTTTACCCAAGACCGGTTCTGCAATCCAATTCACAGTGCAGCTGCACAAATAGCTCTGTTGGTATAACTGAAGGGTTGCCACAGGGTAGGAACAAGTGGCCGGGGCAGTGGCTGCTAACACCAACCTCACTGCCAAAAGAAATGTCTACAAAACTACGTCCTAAAAAACTTAGCAGCATTGGCAAAAAAATACCACCTGAAGTGGTATTATTACTTGCGATTAATCTTTGTCGCCATGTGCTTTCTTTTTAAAAGCTGTTGGGAGATAAAAACACTTAAGTGGAAAAAGTTATCCTGTATTTCAAATAAATAGGAAAAAAATGTATGTTTCTAAGGTGCCAGTCTGCTAGATATTAACATTATAACAACTGAAACAGGAGAAAGAGGTTGTTTGAATTTTAATAACGGGCAAAAGAATGATATTTTGTCAATCTTTAACAAAAACAGACTGTAAAACCTAGCCAAGTTTAACAGCCATTAAAAGAGCACACATATTTTGGATATTTCTCATATCTCTTTGCTTAAAAGAAATATACGCCCTCCAGTATAAGATAAATAATTCACAGTTTCAGAGAAACCTTCCCACTTTAAATATTATCAATAAATCACATTAAAACCATGCAGCACACAATTGCAAACTGCTGAAAGACTGTATAATACAGGGAAAACAAAATGACCCCCAACACGTCACCTAACTGAAGATGTTTAACTGGGATGATGAAATAAGAAGATGAGCTGGCCTTTGCTTCCTCCTATGTTCAAGGTGGGGGGGAAGAGATCTCCGGATCCTACCTGAACTAAATCCCTCTCTGAAGGTGCCACCTCCTTCTCCACTGACCATATGGCAGCCAATGACAGCCACGCACCTACCTGAAATGCCTCACTTACTTACTTACCTGCGATAAATCTGGGTCACTGTGCCAAATGTCAGGGTTCTTCTGATATCTCAGATTAAAGGAATAACTACTTGATGATTACGTAAACTGTACTTTAGCACATGAATTCCTGGGGCTTCTATGTGTCTCACTTATATAGATCCCAATTAAAAAAACATAACCTTGCATGCATTTTGCAAATTTAGCTACTTCTAATACCTAGAGGTAATTTATGCCCTATTAGAAAGTAGTTTTGGTTTACAGGGTTTAGAAAAGCAGTCTGGAAAGCTGGGCATCCAGGACTACATCTTCGTTGTCTTTTGGATCAGACAGAAAATGGTAGGCCAGAAAATGGAGCACAGTCCAGCACAGCCCCCGCTGTAGCTCTGAACGTCCATATGACTATTTGCAGATAGCTCTGCAGGACCCCATCTGAGCTGAAGTTGTTTACACACCCCACCTGCCTCATCCCTCTTTTCAAAAGGAGAGCGTCAGCCTGATGCTAGTGATGCGGCAGCAGAGCATCGGTGGGGGAAGGCGCGATCGCCTGTGCTGGGAGCTACACCAACTCATTGCTCTGGAACTCACTTCAAAGCCAATCAAACCCCAGCTGGGCACAACAAAAAAAAAAATCATTTTTCCCAGTGAAATCTACAACTCCTAGTGGAGCACTGGAACAAGCTGCTTGGAAAGGCAGTAAAATCTCCACCTTTAGAGGTTTTCAAGACTGTGCTGGGCAAAGTCACGGCTGACCTGATCTTGTGGTGGCAATAGCCCAGTTGAGCAGTAGGTTGGACTAGATGGCCTCTAGGAGTCCCTTCCATTTCTATCATTCTAATATCTTCCCACTTGATTCACAACATCTCTAGTATTCTGCCTCTACACTATGTTGTGTAGTTTAAATTTCTTTCATCAACTTTAATTATACTTACCCCATCCTCAGTAGGGGAGGACATCAGTAGAGAAGAGATTGTCTGTTGTAACAGCTGCAATAAGAAAATTAACAAGAACTTATGTATGCAAAAACATTCTGTTTGCAGGTTAAAACAGTTGTGCTAAACAAACATTAATCATGTTAACATACAATGGTTCTGTTTCTCTGACCAAGAAAGCAGAAGAGAGATGACACAAAAAATGTTCAGAATGGGAGTCTAAAAATCCACATTCCTTTTAAGCTGTGGACACCAAAGTTCCCCAAGGGCTCATCCCAGCAAAGTCCTTCAGCGGGACTTGAGATGCGTTCAACATTTTGGAAGCCTCAGGGTGAACTCAATGACTGTACTATTTGAATAAGGACTGCAGAACTGGATTCTTAGTGCAACGAAGCCCAAGTCTAATATCAGATTAAATTATGGGATTCTTTTTTAAACTTTTAATTTTTCTTCTAACAAACAAACAGAGCTATTTATAAAAGTGGAGTTTACAGTACTTATGTGTCTATACATATCTAGCCTCATTATATCCAATACACCCAAACTCATCTTCTACCATACCTTTACTTTTACTGTACTTTGAGATCGAGACGGACAACTCAAGAAGACTTCCAGTTGCATTTTCACAACTGGTGAAATTACAGCTTCAGAGCACTGGTTGCAATACAGCAGTCCACTGAAACATGCAAACAATGATGGAAAAACACATGGAAAAGTTATCAATCAATCATAAAATTAACACACAAACAACTAACATCTGGTCTATTCTGTAAAATGCTTTGCTGGTAGACCTGTAGTAGAAAAGTCTATGGTGGAGATTCAGTTAACAATAGCAAACAGAGTTATGTTGGCAAAGCTAAGTAACCTTCTTGGAAGACATAAGCTCTTCTAGCGAAAGGTATCTTCCTTCTGTAAGTTTTGACAAACATGGGGGAGGCTGCTGTTCACAGCCACCTCACCTAAGCAGATATGAATCTCATAACCTTCTAACTGTTATGGCGAAAAAAAAAAAGAAGCTATAGTATAGCTTTGGTCTAAATAACATATTGATTTAAGCCCTCATTCAGCAAACACTCAATATTTTCAGCACACACTTAAGCCATATGCATGAAATTAAGCACAGCAGTAAGTGCTTGTTGGACCTGAGGGCTTGAATGAATGATGTTGGTGCTAAGCTAATCTCCAAATAAAGCAAGAGAGTCCTTCAGAATATAGAAAAAAACTATGAACTAAACTACTTTGTATACACGCATACACTCGTATTTTTTTGAGTGACAGAATAATACAGGACAACCTTATTCAGCTTTTCAGCTCCCCCCAGCCCCCCCGCCCTCCTCGAGGTTGTACATAACAAAGTAAACGCAGTAAAGCTTTTCTTACTTAGGAAAATGTTATTTATTTGAAAGTGATCAAACATTACCCTACTTCTCCTTAAACTTTTTGTAAGCTTTTCCAGTACAAAGAACCCTCTTTCCTGCTTTTTACACTCTGCCTGCCCTCTCACCACCAGGTTTTTATCCCACCAGGTATCTCACACGATGCAAAAGCAAGCTGGCTAAGTAGCTAAGAGGACACTTCCCACGAACATGCCCGAGTGATGTGGGCTTGGCATTTCAGGTGACAACAGGTTCTGTAAGATCAGTATTCACATTTGTGACACTCATATTTCCAGAATTATTTTACATTATTTTTAGAAAGGTTACAAATTTAATAGGTTTGAATGCATCTCTTTTGCAGTTACGTAAACTATAGCAAGGATCACAGATCAATTTAAAAAAGGAGGTGAATGAGTGGTATACCTGGTAACAATGTAGGGCAGAACACTTGAAACTACTTGAAACTACTGTTCAAGAAGCTTAAAATCAGCCCTGTGAGTTATATGGCGTGTTCAATAAAATTACTATTGTAATGCAGTGGGCTAAGAAATCTTTTTAAGCACTAATTCAGGATTGGCTTGCAAAATTGTGATTACTGCAAATTCAAACCATTTCATATCTACTTGTATCTTTCTTAATAAATTAATCTAACCTTGCTGGCTTTATCAGTCCATCAGCAATAAAAATACTACGTCTCAGTGCTAGGAAGGAACAAAGTGCAGCCTGTGCCTGCAGGAATGATTGCATCACCTATTGCTGTTATGGCTACATCTGCAAAACACCTGGAATTTTAAGGAGCATACTGACTCTTACCTGTCCTGGGGATAAAGTTCCAATTTTCCATTGCCACATCTGTCACATGTAGGCCAGGAGAAAGCAGTGCTCTCATTAACCCCAACAACAGTGCCTAAAAAAAAAAACCACCTTATAAAATACTAAACGTAAGCTAGCAGACTTCTGCCTTCACAGCAAGCTTGATCTTTTCTGACTCTCGTCTTAAGAATAAGACTCCTTCTTTCATGGCACCACAGTAAGAATCAACTTCTCCAACAACCTCACTCTTTTTCTTCTTCCTCCCTCCGAAAAGGAATGTCATCGCGGCACAATGCATAAACCATCTAAAAGTATCAGAAGATGCATATTTGAAAATCAAACTTCCAGCAGGTTCAGTAATTCTGGTTTGGGATTTTTTTTTTGCTTTGGTGTGGTTTTTCTCAGACAGGACCTCTGACATTTCCTTGGCAAGAAACACTTATAAAAGCCATCAGGTCAGATAGCTTGGTATCGATATTTAGGAAACACAGGACAATCAGAAGACACAAGCCTTTTCAGAAACAGTGATGCCAGTTAAATTCCATTAACAATGGAGTTATTCTTCATTTATACTGATTTAACAGAGATTAGATCTGGCCCACAGATTTCAGTCTGTGCCTAAGAAGGGAATGCCAAAGATACTTTGGACTAATACAAAGGGCCTTGCTAGTTCTGGCGAGAAAAATATATTCGGAGTTTTATAAGAAGCCAATAAAAAGTGTATAATGTGTTATAGTAACGATATGCTGGAGTAATTAGCATTACTTATGGAGAAAACATAAGCATTTTCAATTATACGAGGTGGATCTCCTGGAAAAACAAAACTGCAAGAGACTCCTCAGTCTGGTACTTCAGAAGTACAGGGAGCAAGAATCCCAGAGTTTTATCATACATTAAATAAAATAAAGCCTTGGAGTCTAGAGATCATTTATACTGACTGTAAAACAGGGTGGTAAATCCTTACTTTCCCGACTCACCTAAGACAAGGACTGGCAGAAAGGAGGGAAAGACATGTCAGAAAGGAGGGAGAGACATATGACAACAAAATCTTCATTTTCTTTGCAAATTCAAAGGACATCAAGTCTGAAGATCAGGAAAGCTATTTCTCAGATAGAACATCTATGACCCAATTTCTATGCATATAACAGAAGAACATGGACTACACTGACAGAATAAGCAGTCCTGGGTATTTTAGAGGGAACCCTTGGAACGTTACAGCAATAACTTTTCTTCAGCTTTTGTGATAAACTAGGAGTTTCGATCAGCTACTACAATGTAGGACACTTCCTGCCACAGCACAGACGTGTTTCCTCTGTTCATGAAAAACTACCAAAACTACCAAATTAGCTTGCTGAATAGGTTTCTTTTTTTCACAGCAATTTCACTTTTTCATTTTAACATAACTTTTTTAGATAGATCTTTCTTCCCTCTAAGCCTTTTCAGTCCGCCCACAAATTTTGTACTACGTTGCAGCTGCAGGATGCCAGGGCCCAAGCAACACAAATACATTGGAAGAAAATGAATCAGGATCAAACTGACTACACTGTGTACAGTGCAAAGGTTTATTTTGATGACAGTGTAGAGTCCCCTTGTGGAACCACAGAAGATCACTGAAGTCTGAACAAATTCAACTCAGGGCAGCAACAGATCAAATAATCCAGTGATAGCCATTTGCATCCTGCACGCAAAGCGATTTCTCGAGCTAAAACTGCTCAACTGCTGCACGCCTTTGTCAAATCTTCAGATTTTCCTTGACTTTCAGAGACCTTTCAGATATTCTCCTGAGATCCTTCTGTTAAATGGGAACATATAGCCGTAAGTTGATTTTCACATCTACTCTACATTTTTCTGTGTTGTGGTGGACACCTTCAAGAAGAGGCTGATCAATCAAGACAGATCTGGAAAAAGAGATCTCTGGTGAGGAATGCAAAGGAGAGTCGAGGATTAAAAGTAATGCTCTGGTTGAAGGATCAAAAAATGAATAGCTATATATATTTTTTTCCAATCAGTTACCCTGATTAATGAATAGAGAGGGAAAAAGTTCAGTTAAAAACTGAGACTTAGGTAAGATAACGAATCCCATTTTGTTCAGCTTGTTAAAAGGACAACTGAAAAAAAAAATGAGTGAGGGCTGAAATATGAACACATCCAATATCAAAATGCAATCACCAGATTCGAGTCCTATACCACAAAAATATCATTAATCAAGTAATATTCCCACACCGCGTATGTGGCATGAACTACCTACAATTTGTTCAACAGAACAGTTAAGAGGAAAAGCAGTTCTACGCAGCGAAAGACTGCAAGAGCTGGGCCTGTTCAGTCTGGAGAAGAGAAGACTGAGAGGGGATCTCATCAATGTGTACAAGTATCTGAAGGGGGAGTGTCAAGAGGATGAGGCCAGTCTCTTCTCCGTGGTGCCCAGCAACAGGACAAGAGGCAACGGGCACAAACTGAACCGCAGGAAGTTCCGTCTGAACCTGAGGAAAAACTTCTTTCCTGTGAGGGTGAGTGAGCAGTGGAAGAGGTTGCCCAGAGAGGTAGTGGAGTCTCCTTCGCTGGAGATATTCAAAACCCGCCTGGACGTGATCCTGAGAAATATGCTTTAGAGGACCCTGCCTGAGCAGGGAGGTTGGACCGGATGATCTCCAGAGGTCCCTTCCAACCTCAACCATTCCGCGATTCTGTGATTCTGTGAACTGACAACATTTAGGTCATCCTGACCACTGTTATAGAGGAAAAAGAGGTCAGACATTACTTTGCAATGTACAACAATGAGAAAATGAATCTCTGTTGACCCTAAGCTTACAGCTGAGAGTGACAGACCCATCTTTAAAAGAAGAATAAACTTTCCAGTAGTAAGCAACCTCAGGTTTTCACTCATCTGCTGAAGAGCAATATACTGTCCATCGTAGAGCTGATATGATTGAGCCTCTCTGAAATAAAGATTTCTGACCGACTCAGTGGATCTGTTTGGATTGCAACATTGTCCTTTTGAGGGGGGAGGAAGAATCTGACCAAGCACGACTGGAAGACTTCATTGGCAGAACACTAATAAAAATAATTAAAGACAAGTGGCAGCAAGGAACATTCCACTTACATAGAAACAAAAAATTATTCCCAGTGAGAGAGGTTAAGCCCTGGAACAGCTTGCCCAGAGAAGCTGTGGGATCCTAGGAGACATTCAAAATGTGACTGGACCAAGGCCCTGAGCATCCTGATGCAACTCTGTAGTCGGCCGAGCTTTGAGCAGGAGTTTGAACGAGATGAACTCCCAAAGTTCCCTACAAACAAAGTTATTCTAGCATTCTATTTATATACCTGATAAACTCTTTCCTAAACTTCCCTTCCAAAGAATGACTAGTCTGCCTAAACCTGGCAGGCAGTATGGTCTGTGCCCTCACCTCCACCAAACTTGGCTTTCGTGGAGGTGCTGATGCTCTGATTAATTGCTGTATCCTTGGATGGGGAGTTGAATGACCACCTACATTTTTCACTGACTAACAAGATGTTTTTCCAGGGCGGCTTCACTATGAAGGCACAATGCCAAATCCCCGAGCGCCTGGAGGAGGAGCAATGACAGGAAAAGAACAGGCAGAAGCAATACTTCAGGAAGAGGGAGAGTCTTTGCAGCACCTTTGGGTGTTAGGTGAGAAGAGGCCTACGTACAGTGTACGTAGGTGACCAAAAGTACAGGAAGTGAAAGGAGGGCACAAAGAAATAGAACAAACATTGGAACAAAGTACAGACTGCTTCTCACTGAACGCCCTATTAACAACTCTTGAGTTTTTCTAGAAGAGATTGAGATGGTGAGGGAATTTCACAGAAGATATTTTTTCCCGCATGAATTACTCCTTTGGATACATATATTCCCACCAACAAAGTAGGGCTAAAGCTGTTAACTTTGCTTCTTCATTAGAAAGATGTAAACACTAACTAGCCAAATTTCAAAATAGTGAATATCTACCATAAATGCTATTAAACAATTTTAGTTACAATAGCGCACACACAAAAAGAAAGTGCAGTTTATCCTCTGTACGTAGAGCTAGCATAGGTATGAAAAAAGGTATTTTATATTCTACATCAATACAAAAGTGTGGGAACATACTGATAACAGCTACCCTCAACAAATTTCAGATTAAGCTAGCCAAACACGAGGTTGCAGGATTAAGGCTGTCACTCTTCCATACGCAATGAAGAACGAGGAAAGCCTGACACCTCTAAGGCATGTAAAGGAAAGGCTTGTTTACACAAGGAATCACAAAGTTGTATTTTCTTTGCTTTATGGGAAAAAGAAAGGACAGAGAAATATTTTGCTTTATCCTACTATATACACTGTTACCTGAGCAAAAGAAGAAAATCACTTCTTGTACTTGGTATATAAAAAGTAAGAGCAGGCAAGTGATAACTGTTGGCATAACTATTGGAGAGGTTGAGGAAAAAAAAGCCAAAAAGTATTTCATAACTGGTAATAAAAATACCTTTCAAGAAACTCACAATATTGATGTGAGATGTGCATAATGACCAAGACTTAGAGTGAAGCGCCTGTAGTTGTGTTCGTTTTTCATTATGCAATGAAAGTTCAAGATCTGTTAGTACAATGTGCTCGTACATTAATCACAGAGACATTGCTAACTGGTGGCTCTACCAAAACAGTAGGTATTTTTAGTAAGGGTTCTGAATCTTTTTAGTATATTGCTTTAGATCTGGAAGGATTCATTACTACCCTTTGTAGTCATTATTTGCTATCATTTGCTATAATTTCAAATGTTTAAGTGAATATGTGAAGGTGCAAATGTGAATTAGCATCAAGAAATTTTCTGAAAGGATTACTAGAATCTTAAGAATTAAATTAAGAAAGGAAATTGTCTTTAAAAGGCAAGATTTACTGGGCTTTTAGTAATTTTTCCTTACAGGCACTCCACGACTGAGAGGTTTAAGAGGCTGACCGGGCAAAGTACCGGAACATACACTGTAGGAAATGTTTCTGCATGATTAGGAGAAGTTAGAAAATACATTGTTAAGAAATGTTTCTTTATGGTTAGCGGTAGGACTGAGGCATTAGACAAAGCAGTGATCCAAAGTGGCTAGTAAGCAAGTATTGGCCAAGTCATGCTAGATGTCTATGCTGAAACATTAAGTTACCCTATTTCAGCAAAGCTTCAGGGAAAGCAGAAGCTAACCCCTACCATTCAGAATCTGGCTTACACACGTGCCTAAAAAACATTCGTATACCTTAGTGTTGCCAATACCACGAAGGCTGGTGTGAACAGAAGGCTCCTGAAAGAAGACTGTGCAGGAAAGAATATAATAAAATAGATTGTACATCAAACATTTATTCTAGGGTATCAGTGACTGGGAGTTGCAGCCGGGCAGAGCCTGGCCAATAAAAGACAAACAGAGCCCACAAAGAGGTATAAAAACTTAAATATCCTAATGACCTACAGCAGTAATGCTTTTTTATCCCTGTACACCGTTTGTGCAAGAAATCAATATGAGGACCTGAAAGATTAAAGTGAACACAAATAATTAACCCCATTCATTTCAGAAAAGGCCACACAAACCTCTTACAGTACAGATGGAATTGGCCTGTGTTGTAGAATCCAGCTCATCGAGTTTGACAGGGCCAGTCAGCTCACTGAGGTCAGCACCGGCAGCCGAGTACAAAAGAGGCTTTTGTAATAAGAGAACAGTACGTTCAACACAAATAATCCTACCTGCCAACAAAGACATTTCAATTCAGTACAGTAACAAGGAAAAAGGTGACCATGTTAATTGTCATGGCCAATACAGACAATGATCTCTGCCAGTTACTAAACAGATGGACAGATTCTGTCAGGCTTTCCCCACAACAACATATTTTGCTTTCAGTGACACACGCATCACACTCCTGTTACGCTTTGTGATTCCTGGGGAAACAGATTTAAAAAAAAAAATTTAACATGGCAAAAGAGAACCGGATTCCATTCACAGCAGCCTGTAACAGATTCCCTGGAAACTTGCCGTTACTGTCTCTTCCTTAGGAATCAGTGAGAAGGTGCATGCAAAACTTTATTCTCCAAAGCAGAGATTTTTTGCCCAGTTTGCGTGAAACGAGTGTACGACCTCTGCTAGTAAAGGAAAACAGAGAGGTTAACAGATGTAGTAACAGCACACACAGCCATTTACACAGTTTAGTGCTTCCAATCCACTTACATTTGCCAAGTGACTGAAGGCTACTGACTTCAGATGTGAATGACACATGCTTGCACCAAATAAAACCATAGGTGAGCAACTACAGAATGAATGGAGAGTAAACTATCTTCTTTATGATCTGTATACTGGTAAAGGCTCCTTTTAGAGGGACTAAAGTTCAATAAATCAAGTTTCTGCAAGAATGTAAAAACTAATGAAACAAAGTTTCCTAATATCTTTGAGTCTTCTATCAGCTATCACATTTGATTGACTTTGGTCATTAAATTCAAAAGTCACCAGGGAAGACAGACAGACAGACATATTGGTGGACATACAGTAAGATCAATTTGAAAAAACAAAAAAGAAACCAGAAACTTATAGGAAAACCTACAGTTACAACCCCCTTCAAATTTCTCATCCAAAACTTGCCGTGTTCCATCTTCACCTGAGAATGAAGGTGAAGGATGTTATTTCAGCTTGATTCCAACCACTTCCAAGCCACAAATAAAGCTTACCGTTTCCCCACAGCGCATCCCTGAAGAAGACGAGGCGCGAGGCGACAGCGAGGGCTTCTGTTACCTCCGTGCTGAGAACACACGATGCAGCAACTGACACAGCAGCAACTTTTGGAACTATATGAACCTCACTTTGCAACGTGAAGTCAGTCACAAACAGCCAAATCTCCCTTTGATTTATAGGAACACTGCATTTTGTCTATGGTTTCCAAAAAAAAAGATGCAAAATTGGAATACAGTCATCAATTTTTAGACGAATGAAAGGCTACAATAATATTTTTTGAGCAACCAATAAAGCTGACATAATCTACTACATTTAGGGTTTGTACGGAAAAATGAATCAAGGCTTTACTGGATTTTTTTTTTTTCCTGAATGCAGATATAGACTAACATCTTCTACCTTAAATTAACTTTCTGAGGTTGGGATCTTGGCTTTACCTTAAACAACTATCATGTCTTCCTATAACTCACTTTGACTGTACTTGGGATTTGAAAATATATTTTATAAAAACTTAATGGTCTGTTTTTATGAACAAAGACTTAAATAATTTTTGCCTTAAAAAAAGAAAGGCTAAGAGTACTACTACTTTCATTTCATTTTTTACATTTCTATGTAAGCACATTTTCCACGTATCGTTATGTGATTCTCATGAGCACCATTCCTGGGCTAAAAGCTACTGTAAATTACAAAGCTGGATGTTTTTCTTTCTGTTGAACAAACACAAATTCTTGAACGATACACAGAAATAGGAAAGCAGATGACTCATCAGTAAGACACACAGGAATGCACCATGACAGTAAAAGTTTCCTGCCTGTTTAAGATAGGTATAAAAAGATTCTGGTATGGCTAAAACAAGTTATATCAAAACAAACGATGTCACAACCAACATACCTACGTTTTAGGTCAGGCTTCAATATCTGCAAACAACTAAAAAATACTAAATCACTAGTTTTCAAAAAAATTTCATATTATGATGAGAATGAGACAGATGATTAGACAAACATTATATACATATCAAGGCTTATTCCAGAGTCTCTAACAAAATCAGACGGGTTACAATTTGACTATCCATGCTTTTCTTCTTTTTTTTAAAAACAAACTTTTATAATCTCTCTCTCTCTCTGTGTGTGTGTGTGTGTGTGTGTGTGTGTGTGTGTGTGTGTGTGTGTGTGTGTGTGTGTGTGTGTGTGTGTGTGTGTGAATTCTCCTATGTTTTAGAAAAGCTAGGTTTAATAACAAAACATATTTCACATTTACCAGAAGCCACTTGTAACTTTTAAAGATTCTAATATTTTAAAATATTTAACTGAAATTAAATTACTTTCTTAATTATTTAAAGAAGTTTCATTATTAATTAGTCTGTCAAATAAAAGTTCATACTTAAAATATTTAAATGAAATTTAAATACTGTAGTGACTGGAGAGATACACATCACGTAAGTATTTTATTTCCAAATTTGCATTTCTCGATCATAAGGCAATGTGATGAGAACCTTGACTTTTTGTCTGCAATTGAATTCAAACCTTGCAAACGCTAACCGTACCCAAATTAGCTTTTTGCTCATGCTAATAGCTCTTAGAACAAATGCAGTAATTGGAAATAATGACTGGTAAAATTCATAATTCAGCCATTATGTTATCCCCTAATACAATATATGCTGCCTATCGCATTTATATTGTTTCTTTCTATAGCAGCTACATGCATTAGAGTGCCTCCTCTATGCAGATAGCATTAAAACAGCTTAAAAAAAAGGATTCGTAATGCTGTCCCCAGAGAATTACTAACACATTAAAAGCGGAGCTTCAGAAAAATCATCTAAAAAGTAAATAATAATAACGGCAAAAATCACAAGTTAGTATAAAATCATCATCTTGTTACGTGTGACAATTTGTTCTGAACAGAGAGGACACAACAGACAAATAGCAGCAGGATTGAGTTATAAGGAAGGACAGCTCCTCAACCACAGATGGGATATATTTCCTCATATTCCTTCTGCACTGCAGTGCAGATTCTGAGTAATAATAAAAGCATATTTCCATTCCTCCTTTACACAAATGAAGCATCTCAGAATACTGCAGCTACAGTGAACAAATACTATTTTTAAAGCGCATTTGAATTAACCTATGTAGCAGATTATTTAATAATAAGTCTGCAAAATAAGTCCCTTCTTCACATATTCTAGCATGACGATTTTGCACGTGAAGGATTAATCCTCCTGGCAGTAAACAAGTTGCTGTTTGTGGCATTCTTCTAGAAGGATTAGGCAACTGATACACTAACAGCGGGTACTTCAATTCACGTTCGTAGAGCAGTTATGCAAAAGTTAAATACCTTCTATTACTTTTTCAATATTACTTTCAAAAAATTTATGAGCTCAATATTGTTCGCTTATGAGAATTACAGTTCCACAAGTGAACAACCATTAAATAAAACAGCTAATAAACCTTCCAACAACAAGAAGAAATAGTAGACTTTTTTTTTTATTAGACAAGCTCCCGTTCTTCAAAAATACATCTATTCCTTCATCTTTTCTCTAATTTAGTGTTAAAGTGCATCTACACAATACTGATGGTGCACGGCATCTCAGATGCATATGGTTTTGGTTTCACGCTTGAAACCAAATATATGTGGCTAAGATACCGCTTCCTAATCTTGTAATCATTTTTTTAATAAAGCAGTTTTCTTGGAAATAGGACATGTCCACACATACATATGCTCATCTTTCTGCTAGCACCCTAAAGATCTCATCAAATTAGCTGTAATTTCAAATGTGTGCAAATGCCCTGCTGTCACTTACCACGGAGAAAAAGCACTGCTAAGTGAGAAAAGATACTCCCCATCACAGGAGTCAAAAGTCCCTGAAATCAAAATTGTAACACAGTGGCTGCTGCAGCAAGAGGACAAGACCTAAGTTAAATTTAGGTCCCTCAGTGGTGGGAAGCATCTCCAGCTTTTGCTGGCCCTTCAGGAATTTCTTTGTCTTTGGTTCATATGCTTTGATTCATACTTTGTTTCTTGTGGAGCTGATTTACAAATTATCCTCCACCAGAATTCATTGCTGGCTGTATTAGGATCCATTTGCCAGGAAAAAAATAAATAAATCAGGAACAAAAAAGTCCTTTAACTACTGAGGAAGTTAGCAACATTTTGAAAGAAAGCTGTAGTGTCATTCAGAAACAAATAAATAAAACATAATTATAAGCTCTCCAACATAATATGGATGGCAGATGTATTTACCTAAGAGTTCCTCCTTTCTATTAACTGGACTATAAAAGCCAAATTTGCCTGAGGGGCTTCTCTTGAAGTCAACAAAAATGGTCCACTTGCATGCAAAGCGCAAAACTGTGTTTTTACATAACCATCATCTGTTAAACTCTATCCCCAGACACTTAACTGGCCGGGAACTTTTCAGTACGTATCTAAGTATTTAGCTCCAGTGCCAGTCTCAGCTAACTCCCTGGAAGCTCCTTACCAATATCCAGGGTGAAATATTGTCTCTGATTAGATAACAATTAATTGAGAAATAATTCACCTTCTAGACTAAATGGGACTTGAGACTGAAAATGCAATTCATTGCACCCACTCACAGGCATATTAGACCTGTTGATAATTCTGCTCACACAGCTCTTGAAGATAATCCAGAAACACTTTGTTTTTCCTCTAAAAATGACAAATGCTGGCTTCTTCAGACATACATTATATGGAGTTTAAATATATTGCATTACTAAATGAAAAGATTACCTGCAGCCTTAGATACAGCACTCGTGCCCAAAAGCTACAGCATACATTACAACCATCGATCTGAAAATAATTGTGCAAAAACAGGGAATGAGACAAATATGGCATTAGAAATTTAATGTTACAAAGTATTTGTTTTATGACTTGTAAAGCAGATTACCTGAAGAATTTCCTTTAGACCACGAACAGCTGGTGGCTGGTACAAATTAGAGATCTGTTCTTCCTCATCTACTTTCACATGTATTTCACCAGACTGAACAGTAAGAACATAACAGAAGCTGGGAGGAGGAAGATTAGTTGTCATCTATTAGAAAGGAAGGAAAAGAAACGGGACTTTAAAAAAGACACTTTAATTTGGTTAGTCAGGGTTTATGATGTTAGATAAAAAAACAGAGTTTACATTTTGAGAGAGAGAAAAACAAAATTATATGGTTAAATAACAACAACTCTCTGAAGCAGAAGCTGATTTAATAAAACAAC